GTGATGGGAGCAGCAGTTACATTCTGAGTTAAAGACGGCTCGTGTGACCTAACAAAAGAGCACACATTTAAACACAATTTCCACCAAGTTATCAAAAAAATCTCAATTCTCCTCTAGCATCTTCATATTTCCTTAAGTGAGAGGTGTGGAGAATTTGATGTTAGATCCATACCTGTCTAGCAGGTCCCATACATCAACATTACCATCGGTCTTGGTGATGAAAAACACCCCTGGAAATGAAAATAACGGTCGAGAATAAAATGATGAATACCTAGTACACGAGGTTTGTGATCTAAATTTTTTTACAGATGATAAGTGCTTACAATGGATCGCAAACACTGTAACACGTCCAAAGCAGCTTCTTCATTCTAAATCACCCGTGTTCAGTTTAAGCTTTCCCTCACTTTTCTGAATCAGTACCACACATCAATCTCAACTCAAATCACCAGTAACGTTACTTAATTCTAATTAGTTTTAGGCTTTAATCTCTCAACAAATTCTCCTTTTCAATCTTTGTTTCATTCACACCTTTTTTATATTGTTATACATGTCTGAGAGGTACTATACCTCCGCTACTTTCCCTGAAGGTACTTAGGTTTGTTACCTGGTCTTGATGGACTCCAATGTCCTCTTGTCAACCTCATTAAATGACTCGCTGATTGAAGAAGAGGACCATTCTGTACCCAAGAGAAAGAGAAAGAATGAATGAAAGAAAGAAAGGGAGACACAAAGAAGAAAAAGAAGAGAGAGAGAAGCCATATGGACATGAGTGCCTGAACTCCAAAAGGTGATACCTCTTATATTGTGTTTGCACTCCGAGTATATGAATAGCATCCTTTATCACTCCACTTCCATTTCTCGTGTTTCAATTTTTTTTAAAGTTAACATTCTTCGACACCAAGAATGAATCAAACTACCCCGACGTCACTTCTTAAGAAACAATTGTCACTGTCATTGTTTCTGTCAGTAAAAATTAATATCAATAATCGCCCAATCAAAACATAGGCGGAGGAGCAAGGGGGGCTAGGAAACTAAAGGGGAAGCACACCTTAGCCTCCCCCACGTTTTGTTACGGAAAATATCGATAGCGCAGCAGAAAACTAGCTTGGAAACATGTTCAGTTGTTCGACCTTCTCAAAAATCGTTACATTAAGGTTGCCCTTGACGAAGTAATATGCTGCTACACTTTTTGAACTCATACGTTTTAAACTGTACTTACAGCTACCCATAGGAACATTTTGAGAGTCATGGGTGAGGTCATGTATTTGACCTGAAAAGTGATGAGCCCACCTCCCGTTTTTCCCAAATTTTCAAAAGCTCCACCGTTTCTGACGATCACACAAAACGTCCGCATCATATGTGCGACGATCGAAGTCGTCCTCATTGTAATTATAATTACTATTATCGGCTTATTTAATCGAAGGAAACACTATAAAGAATTAAAGCACTATACCGTTACTCCTTCCTTCCAAATTGCAAAAGTCCACCCTCCCACCGTAAGCAGTATATCCCTGAAGAAAGGCGACCTCTGTAGGGTGGTGATGGGGCCATCATGTGCTAACCACACTTGCTCAGGACGGGGGGCTAAAGAAAAGAGACAGTTTACCTTCATAATTTGTTCTTGCTCAAAACGAAACTAACGATCACAACCTCTTGATCTTAATCTTCCCACGACATTGTTACCAGTGCAAAAATAGTGTAAGGATTCTTTATTTGGTAATGTTGAAAACATTTCACTCAGCAGAGTGTAGTTTTCAGGAAGAAATGTATCTTTAAATTAGACAGTTTTTCAGACGTTTTTACTGTGTTCCTGGAAACTGCTGTAAGCTTGAGCAAAGTCATATTTCGTATTTTGGGTGACATAAAGGAAATTGGTTGTTTAGTAAATTTCTGGCTGGCTAATGGAAAATTTCAAAAGGCTGGTTGCTGCGCCAAAAGATCTTAGTAATATGAGTTAAAATCCAAAAACAAGCCATTATAAAGCATGAACTACAAACTTACACACGATCTTTCCACTGTCCGTATCCTTCTCGGGTTTCCAATCCATATACACCAAATCACCTTCCTGTCATAAAAGTAACCGTATTCATGTATGTTATACATCATGTTCCACCAACATGTATCTGGTATCCTAAGGAGCTGGAGATTTTCCCAGCCCTCACCCAATGCTTTAAAACATATGTAAAACCACCAGCTACATAGGCTACCCATCTGAATGCAAATGTTATGACAAAACAACCGTGTCAAGATGAGGTGACCCGGAGCAACATTACATGGCAGACCTACTGTATCACAAAAGTACAATCATCACCAAGATAATGGGTTCCTCATAAAAGTATTTAAGCCATAGAGGACACTTTCTATTGTTTTATTGTTGTAATAATCCACTTGAGATGTTAGGAGAATAAGAGAAAAGTTTGTAAATCACAAGCTGGAGGTGAGTAAGTGAGGTGGGTGTTATTTCACAGACTTACCTCAGTTCCAATGAAAAATTTTGAGCTGACATTCTCCAAAGGCTTGCCATGATCTCTACCTTTGGACAAACCGGTTGATAAGTTGGATATCTCCCTTGTCTCTTTTTCCTCACTAGGTTTTGCTGTTAAAATATAACAGGTGGAGATGCATGTAATATCTCACCTTGTACACATACATGCACCTAATATTTGTATAATCATCATGTGACCCTGAATGCCTTCTGCACTGACCAGTATCAAAATTCTCCTTACAATATCACCCCTGAATCACACATTCAGGTCAGGAGAATAAAAGAAATGATCACCAAATAAAGAAGGTCTTGATTGTTAAAAAAATTCCCTTGTCAGCACCTTAGGAGATGCATAGAGAACAGTAGAGAGAATGTGAATAATGATATTTTGGTGTAAAGGGTTACAGCTGATTAAGTGTACCGAAAGTGTTGAATTATTAGACTAATTTAGCCCTGGATATTCCATCAGTAGCAAGTAAGTCATTTACATATTGCAGAATTTAATCAGGTGAACTACTTTTGTTAGCCTAAATTACAATCTGCAGTTTGTTGAATGAACCAACATTTGTACTGTTAATAGAAATCTAAGTCAACTTTACATTTTCATTCAATTTTCTCCTGATTTCTAAGCACAATCTGACTAACTTCTCTACAGAAAAAAAAATTGTTATAGGTAACAAACATTTAAGCTTTTACAGATATTAGACAAGACTATTGTTAGTTAATAATAACTCATGGTACTCACAGCCAGATGTTCTTGCCCCTTGACGTTCTGAAATGCTAAACACACTTGGGCCAAACTCACCAGCACCAACCGAGTGAGATACAGTAACCTGAATTCATACATAGTCATTATCACTTTTTTTATAGTTTACCCCATAACTTCTCCTTTCAATATCAATAAAATATCAAACAGATAGGTGATGAGGATAATAAAAAATATCAATCAGGGAATTACTTGTTGATCCAAATTCTTAGAGGTAAATGAATTGTATGGTAGACAGTAGGAAGGGTTTTCGTTTTCTCTGTTATACAGGGGAATCTCTCTGTAGGAGTTTCATCTGCAGATCTTAAACTTAAGCAACTAAAACCTAAAAAAAATTAAGTTACTTTAATTATCCTGAATTACCCTAAGGACAGGCTTCCAAGTTAAGTCCAAGTGTTTAAATGTAGGAAGAATTCCAACTGGATTGTGACCTACTGCCTGACTTGGTGCAGCAGACTTACTGGGGCGTGTGTCCCAAACAAGGACAGTACTGAAAATAAACATCAAAAAGAAGAAAAAACATACAGAAAGATGTTATTCATTTGTCACAGCAGTGGGAAAATGAAAAAAAATATGATTATATTGTCAGTCAAAAACTATAGAGTTGTGTTTCTTCTCATAGTGTGGTCCATTGTGATATAGCTTAAAAGCTATATTCTTGCATTATTGTATGCCTGAAATTTTGATCATCAAATTTTGAATCTTTGATCTCCAAAGAAACTACATAAGCTAGCTTAATTATCTATGAATATTATTATGATGTATGTTTATTAGGAGTGGTAAATGGAGTGATAAAGTGATCACATTGACAAGTGTAAAATCAAAAATAATATTATTTTATAGTATTTGATTCCTTGTATTACTAAGTGTCACTCATCACTTACCCATCTGCAGCACAGGACATTAACTGATTGCACTGCTGTGATTTGTTTTCAACAACAACTCCCATACGGCCGATCTAAGACAGAATCCACAGATAAAGAGTCTATCATACAGTAACTTGAACTTGATAAAGCCTTCCCCCAACACATTCATGTTAAAAAGAAAGGTGTTTTACTGTTGTGTACTTACATGACAACCAAGCTTAAATTCTACCTTTTTTCCCTCTCTGATCTTTGATCTTTCCAAAAAAGAACTATTCTTAGGAAAGGTTCATTTCCCAATGAGTGCTTAGTAAGTACCAGGTAAGGGGTGACTACAAGCTTCTGTTTTTGGAAATGACCCTGTTCCCCTCCTCTACCTATCTCAGGATGATGAGAGACCACACCCAAAAAATGGTGGAAACCAAACCTACTGGTAATGAAACCTTTCTTCTTACTAATTTCAGCACACGATCTACACACAAAGAACCTCACAAAAACAAAATACCAGAAGGCATATACAACCAAACAAATGAACATACATAACTGCACAATATTTACCTCCATGTGATCAGGAATCCATGTGATGTCTGTAACAACAGTCTTATGACTGTGTTCTATTGATGATACAGCACAATATCTCAGAATGGGTGATTGATCAAAGCTTGATTCATCTTCAAAACCAGGCTTTTGAAATTTGAGACAACACAGTGTTAGAATAAGAATCTTAACAGACATGATTAATATCTGGGATCAACTGCATACAGTTTGCATCTTTGGGGATTTTAAGGACCAGAGATTAATAGTTGTTAGTAATAATGATAATCAGTATTATTCTAATACTGAGCTATGTCAAGTAATTATGAGCATCCTGTTTGTTATAGATGTCTAATGTGTCCATTCCTTTCACTTTACAAGCTCTCTGGCTGCAAAATCAATTATTATATTAAAAAAGATCCTTGTTACTCACCAAAGAGTTCATAGAATTCTTCTTGCTCTGGCCATGAGATTGCCTGTGAGTGCGTAATCTTTCACTGTGGTTTGTTATGTCCCACAAAACAATCTAATAATTTTTACAAAATGGAAAAAAAATTATTATGATTACTGACAACTGCAACCATAATATTCTCAATACCTTAGCTTTCCATGATAGAAAAATACAAAACTGCAAAATGTGATAGATATTTTAAACTTTGGTTTGGCTGAACACTGTAAACTATAACTTTTCTGGTAAATTTTTTTAAACAGCAACTACTAGAAGCAAAAACACTTTTTGTTTACATGTATTTCCTGGCAGCTAAATTCTGATCTGAAAAGGGGACAGGTTCAGCATCCAGTTAAAATTGATATTTAGAGGAACACAACAGTCAGTGGAATTACCTGTCCATTAATGCATCCTCCAGCAATGATATTTGGATCAGAAGGATTAAATTTGAAGGAAAATATATCATCAGGAGCTTCAAGAAGGGCCTGGAAGCAAATCACACAGTAACTACATGTACACACCAGCCTGTACTTTGAGAGTGTCATGAAAAGGAATTTTTTTTTAAGAACTCTGGTAATTATGAACAAGTTGCAATCAGAATGAAGTTTAGATATTAATTGCTATAAAGTTACACAAAACTGCTGAGGAAATACAAATGAGATATCTACAAAATAGAGATGTTTTTGACAACAAGTATTCTGATATCTCAGGGAAGTTGTTGGCTTTTTTTTTGTAAAAAGCTCCTGAATCTGGTGTTAGTCCTTGGGAACTTCTCAAGTTAAAGGGCAAGAATTATTTTCATGGCTTAACTCTGTTTCAAAAGTATGTAATGCAAAATGAAAGGAAGGGATTGAAAAACAATTGCTACTATTTATCATGTTCTAAATTGTGTACAAAATTGTAAATTACAACTGAATATAAAATGGTGCTGCAAAAAAATTTCTATACTCACCAGGGGATGTATTGGATCTGAAAAACTCCAAATAAGAACCAGGGAAGATGTCATAAGAATGCGAGAAAAATTATCCACTCTGTCATCAAATGAAAGGCCCTCTCCACAGGAAACTGCAATGATTCCTGTGAAAACCAAGGAATACCACATACAGTTGAAACACAACTTAACTTTAACTACATGAAAAGCATACTGTATGTTACTGCTAAAAGTTAGACCACTATTATTACTAATGGGGGTATGACAAGTTGAAATGTTACCATAATTCCGTTGTCTCCTCTCTGTTTTCACTATCAATGTTGTTAATAGATCATAAATAACCATTCACTTACCTTTGATAACTGGATGCCATTGAATGTCTGTGATTGTTTTTTCCTTGCTATACTGAAGATCAGTAAATGACTGGTATTCCTGTCAAAATTTTTTAGTATTGTTGATTACTCTCACAGTTCCACTGCATTAAATGTAATGATTTCATAAGAACTATTAAAAGATTCTTGAATGAGATTGGTTATCAGCAGCCTCATTTAGCATCAATAGTATATAGTGTGCAAGTAGCACTTGAATTTGGATGAAATGAATTAATATTAATAACAGGTTATGAGTCATGGCTCTGTGATAGGAATTTGCATTCACATTTGAGGTCTTGAGGGTACCTCCACTTAAGTGTTTCACATCATCAAGCTCTCACTCAGAGTAACAGGGACTGTAATCATACTCATTATTAACTAATTGTACTCTTGCTTAGCAGCTGTCCAATTCTGTTCATCACTGCAACTATGATTAAAGACCAAATTGAACTCTATCCTCTCTTATTATACCTTATTAAATTAAAATAGGGCAATTATAACTGAATTGAGCCTAAATGCATATGTCAGGGAACAATTCTATGACTGCATGGAATACAGCTAATTAATTAAAGTACAAAACTTTAAGTGTGAAACTGTATTATGCTCATCTTAAAATGTTGAAAGACTTTTACAAACCTTCAAATAATTGTCTGATTTTGCTCCAAAAGTAGTTTCATCATCTGCCAGAGACAAGTAATCATCATAGAACACATCCAATATCTCATTTTGCTGCAAGGCCAGCTCAAACCTGAAAGAGAAATCTGTTATTTTAAACAAGTTGAATCTTTATAAAATTGCTGCAAGATACATGTTTTTTTTTTCATGTGTGTAGGACTGGTAATTCAAGATTTTGATCAGATCAGAGCATATAATAATCATGAAACTGGACAGTATTCAAACAAAACTCAAAAGGCTCAACAAGAACAAAGCAAAACATTCAAGGTCACATGAATCAACTGGTGTAGACAACACTGACAGACAAAATATAATGACAGACTTATTGAGACATAATGGGTTGGCTTTTTGCGTACCTTGGCGTGACTTTTTCAATAAAGCTGATGATGTCTGTTGTTGCTCTTTTGATGTCATCTTTGGACTTCTCTTCCAAAGTTCTTGCACTATACTGTGTCACAGCATTACGTGGTTTTCTCCTGTAAGTAGATTGAGTCAAACTGAATGCATACAATTCTTTTCATTACATGTATAAATTTGTTTATTTTTTTAATATCAAGTCCATAGGCCTTGGGAATCTGAAGATGGTTACCAGTTAATGAACTTCTTTATCTATGTTTGAAAATACAGTGTACATAATTTAATCTCAGTTCTAAAGACAATGCATCTTACCATTCTGTTTGATTTCCATTATCTGTTAACACTGGAACTGCCTATAACAAGACATTCATATATAGGAATGACAGTTTATATTTTGAGCATAATTTATCCAGATAACTGTAAACTACTGTATATGCTATTGTTATGAGCTACAGCTGTAATCAATAAATAAGAGCTCAAATTGGATTTAATAATTTTTCGTCATATGACAGTAACTTCCACTTCACTAACAGTGGGTCAATTCAAATCTACAAATGCACACAGAATGTACTTTGTACCTGTATGCCTTTGTCTAGTTCTTTCTTCAGCAAGCTAAACCCATCATCTTCAAATGAAGGACATTCTACAAAGCCATCTTTTGCATCAGACACATTCCGGTCACCAAAAGTCACGGGTACCCCAAACTCACGTCTCTTCCTTGAAATTCTAAATTTAACCTGAAGGGAAAATACATATAGGAAGGTGTATGAGGTTACATTAAAAGACAAATTTTATTAAAAAAATTTCCCTTCCTGACCTTAGGTCTGTTTTCTATCACATTTTCTTCTTCCACTTCAACTTCACTTCCAAGTGACTGCCATGGCTGTGGTGTTCTGGGAAACTTTCTGAGTGTTAGGATCAGGTCTTCTCCATCTCCTTCCTCTGCCTCACCATCTTGTGCTTCATCTTGAGGGGGCTGGGGAAAAATAAGAGCATATAAAATAACAATAATTCAATTGGATGAAACAGCTGAAATCTTACACTAACCAAGTTTATCTAATTTCTTGTCAAAGTTCTTGCAGAGTTTCCACTAGTAATGCAGATCAAGATAGACAGTAGCAAAATTTGTTTTGAAGATTATTTTCTATTTATTTAAGGACTCTTTTTTTTAATTGAATTTAGCTGGCTTTAATAATATATACTATATCTTTAAGTCCATACTATAAATAAAGGAACCTTGTTTTTTTTCTGCATGGATTTAGTTAAGGCCTGTGTGCTTCATGCTTAGGCCATAACTCTGAGTGGAAAAAACTTGAAATCAATAATTAACATAAAGAGTTTCAAAGCTAATGTTTCAAGCATTCGTCCTTAACAAGAGTGAATCATTAATGGGACAGCTCTGATGATGCTCTGACAAAAGAGCTAATGCTCGAAATGTCAGTTTTGAAACTCTTTATGGTGGCCAATTTACATTTAACTTATCAACTCAGTTGATAATACAAAATTACCTTGTTATACTCTCTCACTGAAACAGTACCACAGTTTCTTAAGAAACTTACCCCCTTTATTCAGTGATACTGATGATTGGTTACAGTATGGGGTACACTAATTGATTAGTGATTTGGTCTTATTCCTGATTTGATCTTATTCCTGACAAATGTCAATAAAAGTTTTCACTTACATTAAGAAGCCTCTCCTTAGCCTCTTCAGTGAGAGCAAGATAGAAATTTTGACCATACTTGAACATGGGATCATACACTACAAGGAGTTGATCAGCTGCATAGTCCTACACATATGATAAAAAGGCAATGTTCAGAAGAAGCTTTATGAGATGAGAGAGACCTGGAGACATTTCAGTAACCCTTCCACTGCCAAGATCTCTGTCACTAGTAATTCTCCTTACTGTCTACCATACATTTCCTTGGATGTTAGTTGAAAAAAACTTTGTATTGGATCAACTGATAACTAATAATTTATATTTTTCATTACACTCATCACTTGTCTTGAGTCTTTGTATTGATGTGGTAAGGAGAAATTCCGTAATGATCACTCATGAAAGTTTAAGGGTTAAAGGGACAAAATACAATGTAAAAAATGTTGGCTGGTTGAAGTCCTGAATGAGTAGCACACACGTTCTGACAGGCAAAAAGATGAGGATGCAGAAGCTGAACACATGCAGGACAAAACGTTTACATGGATACTGATTCCATCAACATCCACCTAAAAGGTATGAAACTTACCAAAACAATTTGTTTGGCTGGATGAAAATCTGAGACAGCTGCCCTGTCTTTGAAATCCTGAATGATTGCTTCCTTCGGGATCAACTTGTGCGGGTTCTCCTCCGTAACATCCTCGTCGCCCTTGCAGCCAAATATTTCTTGGGTTTTGCTTGTGAAGAAAAGTGGCATGATGTCCGACGGAATCTCCTCTTCGCCTTCTTCTTCGCCAGCAATAGAGGCGTCTGCATCTTCTTTTCTTTCTTCAGGCATTTTAACGATAAATTTCCGTAAAACTTATTTGTTTCAGGCAACCTTTTCTTACAGTCTGCTTCTAATTGCCGCCATTTTGAATTGAAATTTCCCGGATCCTTTTTAAACATACGTAACCATGAGAACGCTCACTCATCTGGGGGGTGGGAGTAGGAAAGATTCTTGACTACCTGGGGTACATGCACGGTAGTTTAGTAATCTTAATGAGGAGGAAATAAAATGGTCAAAATGCTCTGATCTAATACTGGAACCAAAGTATTGGATCCAGTTCAGCTTTTTGTCGACAAAACACAACTTTTAGAAAGAAGACCTAAGAAATCGAAGATGTCGTGTTGGCACAATAGAGGATGCCAAAAAAAAAAATTAAAAATTCACTTGACATGTTAATATGTTGGCAGTTGGCGGTAACATATGGTTGAACCTTGAAGGGCTCTCGTTGAGACATGTTTTCCATGTTGCATCTGTTCCTAAAAATTTGTTAATTTCGAAAATATTTAAAGTGTGGGTTACGATAAACCATATTGGAAAACTGTATTTTCTCTTTTGGGACAGACCAAACGTCAGTTTGGTACACGTTTGAAAGAGCATCAAAAAGCGGTTTTCTTTTGCAAAAAAAGAAAATTCAGCTTTATCGGAGCACACATGCCTAACTAACCATACAACTGGGTGGGATAAGTCTAAAATTATCACCATTAATCGGCTTTACCACCAGCGCCTTTGTTTGGAAGCTTGGCATATTGACTCCGCCCACGCTCCTTTAAATCGTGATGATGGCGGCTTACTTCCTGACGCCTACTTACCCCTCGTCAGAAAAAAGGAAGCTAATTAGTGATCGTATAAAAGTACCTCTTGTTGCAGCGTTTAGATCATCCCAGATGAAGGCACTAGACAGGAGTGTCGAAACGTTGGGTCTATGAATTGTAACTTCTTCGGTTACATTTATTAAATCTGGAAACCAGAGTAGCATCAAACCATGTCTGATTGTCCACCTGGTTGCCATGTGAACTTTAATATAACTACTATCTTATTGGGCGTTTCATTTGCGACAACTTTTAATAAAAGTTTCCTTTTTATTTACTTAGTTTATTTGATATCTGGTCAATAACAGGAGATTTCCTGCGTTGTCAATTTAAAACTAGTGTTCCAAGGTTATAGATGTAGGTGAACATTGGTTAGTTTACTTTTTGAGTCGTAAAATCGAAACCATATTTGCTTATGAAACTTACGAAGTTAGAGAAAAATCTGAAAATATCAGTTTTTTTTCCTCTTTGCTAAGGAGTGATTTCATTATGAAATATGGCGGGAAAAGATCAGAAAAATGTCCTACGTTATTGGCTTGATTGATATATAAACGAATATTCGATCAATCAATGACATGGAGTTGCATATGATTGAAAGAAGTACTTGTTTTTATAGGTTATCTCTCCCGTTATACAAATAACAATGAAACAGTTCGCGAAGTAAACGAATTCTATGTAATGAAACATTGAAGTTCAGTCGAGTTCATTTCCTATAGCGAGAAAAGCACAGGGCATTTCATCATGAATGAGACAAGGCAGAAGATGCTGTGAAAAAATCGTGAAGAATCAGGCACTGAATCCTTTAGATTTGGTTCACGGGTGAGACACAGAGTTAACAGCTGAGCAGATTTTTTGTTTGTCCTTTTTTAACAAAATATAAGAAAACTGGCAAATCCCTAGACTTAGTGTATTAAATTTTGGGGTTCCAATTCTTGGAAGTTTCGTAATATTTCGCTACTCTTGTTTTTTGAGAAATCTCTGAGGGATCTTCTCTCCGCGAAATAGTCGGTGTTCACAGCAGCATGGATCTCGGAAAAATCGATACATGTGGTATATTTACATTAGAAAGAAAAAAGCCTAAAGGGGAAGAATGTTTTATAAGAGAAATAAACTATAGGGCGTAAACTTTAGGCAGCATAAAAAAAGAAAGAAAAAAAATTAGATTTTTATAAATAGCTCATTTGTTTCCAAATAATTTACAGACAGATAAATAGCCAATCAGAGGAAAGGACACTATCTAGTTGTCATTCGATAACTGGCGGCAAAAAGTGCGTGGTGTTATTTTCATGGAGGATGCTCGTTGGCCGACAATGAGGCAGTTTCTCTGATCTTAAAATGTCATTTTGAAACCGTTACAAGCTGTTGGGCAGTGAGCCTAGAGCCATGCACGTGGTTACTCTATTATACAAAGTGCTTTCGGCCTTGTACTTGCCTGAAACACAACGTTTAGAGCAATGCTAGTGGTTTTGATAAAAAGGTTAAGTCTTATGTTATATAAAACAACATGGAAAGACCTTTCAGTCATCCTACAGGTATTGAAAAAGATGGCGGAAATAATTACACCACAGGAAGGACTATGGACGGCTGTGATATCGCTAATATCGGCGAAAGGGATCTGAACAACAGCCAGGGAAACGTGACGCCGGCGATAGAAATGTTGAGTTTTAAAAACTGTGACGACGATGAAAGTGAGATGGAGACGGTTGAAATAATTAATTTGAATTCTAGTGGACAAGGGCTTGACATCGAGACAGTGGTTGAATCATACTTAGTCGAAGGTAAGAAGACATTTTTTTTAAATGCCCGCACACGAAATATTAAGTGGAGGGTTTAATTGGTGGATGAGCGGAAAATGTGTCATGAAATGCATGTTTCTTTGCACGTGGTACGTACGTGTCAGGGCCGGCGAGGTTCGCAAACTTTCCCGACAAATTGAATAAACATCCTCCTCTAGTGATACCAAGTTGGGTAAAATTTCCGCACAGTCCCATACTATTGTAAAACAAATCTGTTTTTCCAGTGGCAATGTACTGTTTTTGTCATTGTTTTCTCTATCCAATAACTGAATGCATAATGTGGTATGGGGCTGTGTGGAAATTTTACCCTAAGTTGTTTTTAGGGTTATCAAGTTGTTTTGCTCTTTGTAAGGATTCTTGTGATATTATTGTGATGGTCATGCATGGATCATGGTCACGTTTATTAGTCAGTATTTTCAGTTATGTTATCTCTTTCACACGACGAGTTTGCTTGGTTGTCTTAATCAGCCTGTTTCTTTGCAAGAGGTGCCAGTGTTGGCGTGGTTAACAAACTCTCCTCGCTAATTGAGTAAAGCAAGATTTTTTCAAAATTGAATAATTTGTCAGAAGAGTTTTTTTTTGTATATTGAGATTCATGTGACAAAAATGTGATGAACTTGCATAGATCATGGTCATAGTTATATGGTACCTTCAGTAATGTGATCTTTATCAAGCAACAAGCTTGATTTAATTAACTGGCCCAACCTCAGAACTGCCACAAGGGCTGTAATATTCTACTTCAAAGGCCTCAACAGAAAGTGAATTAACTCCATTACAAGAGGATGATACCTTTACAATACCTCACTGATAGTCAGCCACCCAAAGGTTATTCCGATCATGGTATTGGTAAAAAGCCATGACAATCATTCAATCAATCAGAAAAAAATATTTAGTTTCACTTGATAAGCTGCTAGTACGACTTCACATAGCTTTCGAGGGTTAGCAAAGGGTGGGTCCTAATCCCTTTCCACACACAAATTCTTGAAAAATTTATGTGACCTGTAAACTATATTTTAAAAAATGTCACAAATTTAAAAGGGAAAACTTCATATCATATGTACTGCCATATGCTTTCCTCTTCAAAAGCCTAAATGTGATATATGCCTTTGTGTAAAAGCATGTTTTGTCTAGGATTTCATTTTATCAGTTGGTGCAATACACTTTTAAGATTTCCTTTGAAACGGTGTATTAAAGAACAGTTACCTCACTGTGAGGAATGGATTATCTTGTGAATTACTTAAGTGTGTTCACATTTTAATTAAACAGGTGATTTATTTATCAAAACATTCCAGCTAGGATGCTGGGGATCGTTGGCAACTATGCATTTTATTATGTCTGGATTTGATTTAACTGTGAAGTTCTACATACTGTTTGAAAAAGTGCTTGTAGAAAGTACGATTGTGGACATTGATACCCTCATAAATAACAATGCAGGAATCACAAACACTCCCAAAAATTGAAATAACATTTTCTGACTTTTTGAATATTTGTGTTTTACTGGTTTGGTAAACTCTAGTAGTAAGGTGTTAATATTCTACCCTAGTTGCCAGAATTAAAGTTGTTTACTCACTCACCCACTCAATTCTGGATATGTTGATGTGTATAAGTCCTTTTTCAGTTGATATCAGTTGATTGTATTCTTTTTTGTTGCCCACTTGTTGAATTTTAACCCTCTACACCTGAGCTAACATCAGTAAGCATGTTCTTCCTATATTTCCTAAAGTGCTGACAAGGAGAACTTGTTTTAACAATCAATAGTTTCTTAAGTTGGTGATCATTTCCTTTATTCTTCTGACCTTAATATGTGATTCAGGGGAGATATTGTAAGGAGAAATTAGATGCTGGTCACTTATATGAGTCAAAGGATTAAGAATAATGTTAACAATGCATTACATGATAATAATGGGATAATCTTGTAAACAAGTAAAGTGTAAGAGAGTTGGTTCAGAGTACATTTCTTAAATTTACTTACTTGGTTTTAAAAATGTTCATTTCAAGGAATTTTTTTCTTTTAATCTAGAAGATGGTGTTCCTGATACTTCCCTAATGCTGTCTAGCCACCAGGTGAATATTTAATTTATTTTATGCACATCCTTTTTAAAAATGAACGATCATTTACAATAGTTAATTACTGATAATTGTGAATTTTAATCCTTTAACTCTCAGAAGTGATTAAAAAGTGTCTTCTCTTCATGATATCCGTACATTATCTGGCAAACAGTTAATAAGAATGCTCAAAATTGTCAGGTAGAATTTGTTATCTAGATTAACACCAAATCCCTTTAACTAATTTACAAGGAAATGTTTGGCTGTTAGAGGAGAGAATGAACAATTGTATCTTGGTACTTGAGTGCAGCTTCTCCCTGTAGTCCTGTCATGAGCCAATGAGTAGCTTAACCTTAGCATTGATATCCACAACATGGTATTGGGACCAAACTTAAGGTTGGGCCAGTCCAGGATAGCTAGTCCCAAGATGTCACATAAG